GAGCTTGGGTATTCTTGTAGGAAAATTTTGGGTGATTCTTCCAGCCTTCATTGTATGTGTTTGAATGGGGATCATATCGCCTTTTGGGGTTAGAGGTGTAAAATGCATTAGCTTCCTCAATCGACATCTCATTAGAATTTTCTGGGCAATTGGGTGCAATATGACCTTGCACATTACACAATTGACAAATCTCAGGTGAGCTAGTGGATGTTCCAGCTAGGAACCTATCGAACTTGCTTATCAATGCCTGCACAGAACTAGTGAAAAGAGTTAAAGCATCAACATCTAATTTACTTCCTTTTTTCACACTATTTCGGCCACCTGGATGATAACTCCTCCATTTTCTCAACTAACTCCTTTGCATCAATTGGATTCTTTGTCAAGAGAGAACCCCCGGACGCAGCATCAATGTAGATATGAAACTCGTGAGTTAGACCATTGTAGAAGGTTTGGATTAACATCCATTCAGAAATACCATGGTGGGGCCATTGCCTCTGCAATCGCTTGAATCTCCTCCACGCATCGTATAGGGACTCATCATCTGACTGCTTGCAAGTGGATAATTTGTTTCTCAACCTAGCAGTCTTCTCCAGTCCTAGAAACTTTACTAAGAAGGCTTTCACTTGCTTGTCCCATGTATCGAACGAGCCAGTGCCTTCATCTCTCAACCACTCCTTTTCCCTATCCCTTAATGAGAAAGGGAAAAGGCGTAGTCAAATAGCATCATCGGTAACACCATTCATTTTCATTATATCACATTTCTCCATAAAACTATCAATATGACTTACCGGACAATCATGTGGTGAGCCTGCAAATGAATCATTGGAGATGAATTGAATGAATTGTGGCTTTAGCTCGAAGTGCTGAGCCGTCACAAGTGGTCTGACAATGCTAGAAAGGAGTCCGGTAGTCGTATCAGGAATACCGTACTCCAAAAGGGATTTCGTGTCGTCTTCCATATTCCTTTTGTTCTGATTTATCCTTCTTCTTCTACCTCGTCGTCTCCTTATAGTTGCTTCGATTTCAGAATCAAAAGGTGCTAAATCGTCTGACCCTGAACCTCGTGTTTGCATGCAAAAAGGAACTAAAAGCAGAGTATCAAAACACAAGAAACAATAGCCGAAGCAACGAATGAAGCTTAGCAAAAACGAATCACAAATAATCAAATGAAACCGTTAGTCCCCGGCAACGGCGCCAAAATTTGATAGGTGTGTCACGTACCTAACAAAAATAACCTAACTGGACCACTACTATGTAGACGGGCAAGTAAGGATCGAATCCCAAGAGACTAAGGTTCACCTAAATTATCTAGACTCAAATAATCACTAAGCAAGAATCAGATTAATGGTGGAATAAGCTAAGAACTAATGTATGAAAAACTAGAATTAATCAAGAGAATATAATGAATCAATAAACTAAAACATCCAAGATCAAGTATCACCACAATTACGATCGATGCAATTATCTATCTACCCCTAGCATACAAATCCAATTAACATGGGGAAAAGCAAACCCTAATCAATACCAAGGACCTCTCTCGAGTATCAATGGCTTCTCTAACCACAATCAAACCTATTCTCATGGAATCATGCAAATTAGAGACATTAAACACTTTACTTCACTTCCCAATGATCAATTCAACTACTCTCGTGAAGAATTTCAAACCCTAAATTGATCTACTCAAATCCGTTCAAACCCAACTCTCGTTGTGATTAGAACTATGGAATAATAACAATACTAATTATCTCTAATCTAGTATTGGCATAATCACAATCAACTTAGCATAAATAATCGCAATTGTTATTAGAGAATTTAAAGAATCAATTCATGCATCAATCATAATTGGGCTACCCTAGATCTTGGAATATAAAAACTACTCACACATATTTAAATAAGCAATAACAAAAATAATCAAAGAAAACATAATTGAAAACAATAATAATTGAAAGAGGAAAGAATAGAAATGAATACCAATGATGCTTCAATTGAAATAACTCAAAATGTTGATCAACAATAATCAAATCTAGTGAAGGAATTAAATTGCTTAAAAGAAATAAACTAGGGTTCTAGAGAGAGAAAATAAAACTTAAGGAATTAATTATCTGTTTTCTAATGAGGATTACAAGGGGTATTTATACCCTTAATGAAATAAAATCCCGAAAATAAGAAAATCAACTTGCGCATAACCCTGCCCGGTCAGACCGGGCGAGCACCGCCCGATCAGGCAGGTGGTACCTCATTGCGCTGCATCTTCTTCGTAGCTTTCTCCTCGTCGCTCGATCCAACCGGGCAAAGGCTGCCCGATCGGGCGCGAGGCTCAATCTTTGATGTTGCCTTGCTTTGCTTCGTACATCCTTCAGCCACCACGCGCCCGGTCCTACAAGGCAATGGCTGCCCGATCGGGCGCGTGGGATAATTAGCTCAGCCTTGTCTTAGTTCTGCGTAGGATGTAGCTCATAGCATCCCTTATGTGCCCGGTGCAACCGGGCAAGCATGGCCCAACCGGGCACAGTAGAAACAAGGTGTTTGCTTGCATTGCTTCTCAGGCTTAGCTCGTGTTTAGCTCGGTTCTTCATCCTTGTTCACTAACATCTCCATAAACGTTTAAAACGTGTCTGAATCATCCAAGAAGCTCCAAATTCCTGTAAAACTTACGAAAACACATCGAACACACTAGAGAAGAGATTGTTAGCGAGAAACGACTCTAAAGAGCCTAAAACTATGCAAGAATGTGATGTAAAATCGGGATAAATCTATGTATAAAACGTGTACATCAAACCTTTTGTAGGGTGATTGGCATTAAGGTGTCCATGTTGGTGCTGATTATAATTCTCAGGTTGTAGATATACATAGCATTGAAAACCTTGAGCACCAATAGGTTGAGAGGGCACCCTTTGTATAGATGTAGTAGTTTGTGTGTTGCACACCATATCTGGCAAGTTCCCAATACCATAGTTGGTGTTCCAAGTCCAATTAGCACCCCTATAAGAGGTATCGGTCCCATTAAGGTTAATGGGAAAAAAGTAACAGGTGAGCCGAGGGCAAAGATGAAGAAGATGGGCCTGACAATTACAGTTATGCCTCATAACCTGATCTGGATCCGTCAACTCTATCTCCTTTGACTTTTATACCCCTCATCAGCGTCAATAGGAGGGATACTTCTTGGCACTAACTAAGGGGGCAAATTAGCATGTGATCTTGTCTCATCATCTATGCTAGGGTTTCGCATATGGACATTCTTCATTTGTTTGCTTCAGTAATTCCATTGCCTAGAGTAGTTAAAACACTCATCAACTTCTCATTTAGTTGGTTATTTTTCTCCCTAAAGGCTCTAATCTAGTAGTAACTACTTCACTTGCTATACATTTTGATATTTTCACGTTAGAAGAGTTTAGAATTTCATTTATGTCTAGAATGATCCTATCCATCTGTCTGATAACCGCTTGTTGGGAATTTGAACCGGTGTTCTTTAATTCAACAATTATAACTCTTCTGGTTTCCTCTATTATGACAGAATAGTAGTTATAAAACTGCTCTCTATTATTTTCTTTCAAATCCTCCATTAGATTCTTCACAATGTCAGCATACTTTATATAAATTATATTGAGTAGATTTCTAGTAGGAGAATGACTTTCTCTTCTATTGAGAGTTAACTCCATTGCGAGTGAGGCTCAAGTTGTTTAAAAGAGTGTGTAATATCATTAGTTTGAACTTGATTTGCTTAAGGACTAAAATTAAGATGAATTAACAACTTTCGGATTATTTCATTTACGTGTTGAACGCTTAGTAGCCATGAGATAATTTTCAAATGCTTTGAGTAAAATGGATTGGATTTAGTTTAGTGTTCTCCCACTGTGGTCGCCAAAAAACTTGTTGAAGTAAATATTGTTCTTTACCAACAAGTCAAATACCCTATCTTGTTATAGAGTATTAAGGAGCTACTCCTATAGTTACCGGTTTCAAAATTGATTAATTTCGCTTACGTAATACAACAAAATAGTAAAAAAGTTATCCTTGAAGAAGTTATGGTAAAGCCGGATGGCTAAAGAAATGAATAGACACACACATGACAAAAGATGAAAATGCTTTTGATTAATTGAAAGATAAAGTCAGCATTACAATTCTACAAGTTGATGGAAAGGTTATCTCCATGTTCATACGATTGGAATAAACGATCGTTCTTCAACACATGCTAAAGAAACTATCTTATCGATTGGCTACTAAGCCAAAGGAAAACTAAGAAAGTTGTAAGGAAATAAAGCTTAAAAGAATGAAATGCTCTGTGTTGATTGATTTGTTTATGCCTTTCTTTCAGGATTCTTATTCTAATTAAAGGCAAATGAGTTGCAGTTTACTCCATGATCTCCCATAACCGTTGGTAGGTTATAACTCATGGCGCCAACTCCATTTGAATTTACTCATCCCTAACGTACTGCTTAATCCGATTTTATTTTATCTCTTGGGCCTTCTCTTTAGGCTTTGGCACTTATACGTATTAGGTCATTATTCTTTCATCGCTGGATTATGTGAATCTTATAAAATGGTATTCCCTTTGAAGTCAACTTTTCTAGTCGAACATCACAGGCAACACAAGTCCAAAAAATCTTAATTTCAAGTGTAACAGTCATTTAGCCTAATTAAATATAATATATCTAAAGGCTGACATATTCTTAGTTAATAAAAAAATTTAGCTTATTTTAAGCTAACCGCGCAATAATTGACTAATTTTTCACAAATTTTTCTAATCAATATACTTCATACATTTTTGTTGGGTAAAAAAAAGTGAGACGTTAGAAATTTTCTATTTGCAAGGCATTTTTATCATTTTTATGGGAAGATATAAATTTCTGCATTTGAGCATCTACATTGGTGGGAAAATAGGCTCTCCAATTGCCAAAAAATGGAAATGGGGACCTTCCCACCAATGTTACTCCTTTCCCATTTGATAAATATTTTTGGGGAGGTTAATTTGATGGGAAGCCTTCCAAAAATTCAAGTGAGCCCAATTTGCACACTTGGATACCAAAACACTTGGTGGAGTATGGAAAGTAGGAGAGAGTAAAGGTGGTGAGGTATGGAAAATAGGAGAGAGAAAGTAAATGGGGAAATTAATGAATGTAGGTATGAAATTGTAAAATGGAAAAGGTATATGATAAAGTTAGTGAAAAGTGATGTGGACTAATGAGGTGATGAGAGAGAAATTATGGGGAGCCCGATGAATGTTAATGCTCTTAACAACACCCCAAAGTTAGCATCTCAACCGCTCATTGTCACCGTCGACATGGAAGAATCATGAACAAGGTAGTGCCGTAGTGGACATTCAAGTTATTATCCTCAATTGTTGGATAACGCAGGACTAGCATTCTAGCAAGAAGAAATTGGGTTCTCTACTCAATAGTATATAGTAGAATTGCTGAAGAAACGGCATTAATCTTTCAGAAACTCGATATAGTACGTTACTATTCCTCTTTTTTTTTTTTTCTTTTTTTTTTTTTTTTTTTTTCTCTTTGCCTACTTTCTTGATAAAATTTCAGTTCTTCTGCATCATATATTATGCATCAAAATTGTCAATAATTCGTACATATCTATGTTTATGTGTAAGTGTGTAACCCCATAAAACCCATGATTTTCTTGCTGTTTTAGTATAAATTTCCATTTTAATCGCATGTGATTATAAAATCATGGCAACCCTTTTGCGGAGTTTGTCTCCTATACCAAACCCATGTCTAGAAAATACAGTAAAAGTAAGTGGGTTTTTTTCCCAGATCCCAAATTTTCATACTGTGTCAATAAACAAGGGTTTTTCAAGGGTATTAGCATCTAACCAAGTTACAATTTCATCAAATTCTGTGTTTACTTTGCCTAATTGGAGGACTGGTAAGAATGATGCTAAGACTAAAGAGATTAAAGTGAATGATGCTTTTTTGTACTTGGAATATATGGTTGAAAAGGGCCATAAGCCTGAGAAGAGTCAAGCTACTCAGCTATTGTATGACCTTTGTAAACTGAGTAAAGTTCGAAAAGCAATTCGAGTGATGGAGATGATGGTTAGTTCAGGTGTGAAACCGGATGCTACGTCGTATACATTTTTGGTGAATCATTTGTGTAAGAGGGGGAATGTTGGGTATGCAATGCAGTTAGTTGAAAGGATGGAGGAGTATGGCTACCCGACCAACACGGTTACGTATAATTCACTTGTCAAGGGGTTGTGTATGCTTGGGAATTTGAATAAGAGTCTGCAGCTTCTGGATCAATTGAGAAAGAAGGGACTGGAACCTAATGTTTTCACTTACTCATTCTTGCTCGAAGCTGCGTACAAGGAAAGAGGAGTTGATGAAGCAATGCGGCTGTTGGATGAAATAATTGCAAAGGGAGGAAAGCCTAATTTGGTGAGCTACAATGTGCTCTTGACAGGGTTGTGTAAGGAAGGGAGAACAGAGGAGGCAATAAGTTTCTTCAGGAATTTGCCGCAAAAAGGATTTGAGCCGAATGTTGTGACTTACAATATTATGCTAAGGACTCTGTGCTGTGAAGGACGGTGGAATGAGGCGCATGAGCTTCTAGCTGAAATGGATGGTGGAGATCGTTCCCCGTCTGTTGTTACTTATAACATTTTGGTCAGTTCACTGGCTCTCCATGGCCAATTAGATCAGGCATTTGAGGTATTGGAAGAAATGACGAAGGCGGGATTCAAACCTACAGGAGCCACCTACAACCCAATCATTACTCATCTCTGCAAGGAGGGAAAGGTAGATCAAGTTATGAAGTGCTTAGACCAGATGATTTCGCAGCAGTGTTATCCTAATGAAGGAACGTATAATGCTATTTCTGTGCTTTCTGAAGATGGGTCAGTTCAGGAAGCATTCTCCATCATTCAAAGCATAGGTAGCACATCAAACTTCTCGACTCATGACTTTTATAAAACTGTCATCACAAGCTTGTGCAGAAAAAATAATACTTACCCAGCATTGAAGCTATTGAATGAGATGATTAAGTATGGATTTACACCTGATTCTTATACATATTCAACGTTGTTAAGAGGGTTGTGTATGGAAGGAATGATAGATGCAGCAGTTGAGATTTTCATGCTGATGGAAGAAAATAACTGCAGACCAGATGTAGATAATTGTAATGCTCTTATACTTGGTTTATGCAAATCTCATAGAACTGATTTGTCTTTGGATATCTTCCAAATGATGGTAGACAAAGGATATAAGCCAAATGAGATGACTTATACAATTATTGTTGAGGGCATAGCCCATGAAGAAGAAATGGAGATAGCAGCAATAGTTTTGGAAGAACTATATGAGAGAAAAGTAGTGAGTAGAAACACAATGGAAAGGCTCGCGATGCAGTATGACCTTGAGGGTTTACCGGTCTAAACAAACCATAGAGTAACTCTTCACAAAGAAATGCATAAGGCTCCAATTGCTCTTACAATCAAATCGTAATTGATTTGCAAATAGATAATGTTCAGTCCAACATAAGTGAATATATCTGTCTCCTGAATGCATTGGGCTGATATGGTACTTCCTATTTGCTTCAATTTCGATGCTATACGGTTCTTCATGTTGCTAATGCTACTTTCAACGGCGCTACTCTGTTGTCTTTTGGATATGAATTCACATGTAGACTAAGAGGAAGCTTTAGAAACATAATTTACCGTACCAGAATATTGCCTCTGGCTGAGCAAAATGGTTATTAGTATTTTTGGTGCTTAAACAATATGCAGTTTGTCTAATGTTCCTGCAATAAAGACGTCCTAGTTTAAAAGATGCATTTCTTTTGCCAAGTTCATTTACTTCTTTTGGGCAGAATATTTCTTATCTTTAACTTGTTACTCACTTTGTTGTAATTTTTGCTAAATAAAAGTCCTGTTGAAAAACAGCCAAATATAATTTAGTTTATTTGATGTTTATTGGTTTGGCATCAATATAAACTATGGTATAGTGACTTCGTTTGTGAGATTGTAGGAGGAAATACAAGTTAATCTTTATGATTGACTTATAAAGCATATCTAGGATTAAAAGGGACATTTTCCTGTCATTAAAAGGGGTAGCAAAGTAATTTCGCCATTAATGACCAGTATTTTCTCACGCATAGGACAAGTGAAGTGGTAGCAATATTGTATAGTATATATATCAAACAGCGTTTGAGGTGATGTTAATGAAACAGGTGAAGCAACACCCATTCAAAGTACATGACGCCACTACACCTCCATGACGCCGCGACCAAAACCACCACCAAAGAGACGCTGCTGTTGCCGACACCCACTAGAAAGAAGGCGAGCAACCATTACACCGCTTTTATACGGCCATCGCCTCATAAACCAACCCCAATGTCGAACTAATTTCGGTCAAATTCACCAATTTTGAGCAACTTTTATTCAAATTAATGCATGAAGTAAGGTTCTGGGTTAATTAGTTACATCCTAATAAGCCACCCCTAACCTTTGGGGTAGGGGTGGTAATATCATCCAAACTCGATGGATAACCATCCACCTGATCCAAATATATGGATGAAAACCTGAACTTAAGCGAATGACAGATGGATGATGGATGGGTCGGGTGACGGATTGGGTCGGATTCGGATGATGATACATCCAACCAATCACCCGACCCATCCATCCACCCGTTAAATTAATATATACAAAAGTAAAAATAAATGTTTTTTTGAATAATTTAATGTCTATTGTAATGTTAGGAATTGACATTTGTTTTTAATTTAGTAAAAAGGAATAAATATTACAAGGATGTATCAAAGTTTTAATAAATTGATCACTTTTTTTTTTCAAATCTTGATTTTAATTATGAAAGTGCAAAGTTGTATTTATATATTTATTTCACCCGAATTATCACCCGATCCACCCGATTCATCAATGAATGACGGATGGATCGGAAGTGGATGAAGGAAAATTAGGTGATGGATGGGTCGGGTGATGGATGGATCGTTGGTGGATGGAGGCGGATGAAGCATCACCCGATCCACCTCCGATCCATTGCCATCTCTACTTTGAAGTTGAGCATACCTTAAATTTCACCTTTTATTCATAGGTTTTTTGTTTAATTTGGCGGTAAAGCCACCGAAGATGGTGGTCTCATCGGTGGTATCATCGGAGGAAGGTGGATACAAGTATGATGATGGTAGAAATGGTGGTGTTGGTGGAAGGTGGGTGGAGATCGGGGACGAAGGAAGCTTCAATGGAGAAACTTCAATGGTGCGGTGCATTATACAAAAGGTGGGTGGAGTACACAAACGGCGTTAGTGGAGTTAACAAGCATTATTCAACATCTGTAATCTGACTCATCAAATGCTAAAAAAATGTGAGCTGGCAAAAAAGATTGACAGAAGTTTCAATCAAGGCTTGCTCAGATTGTAGTCCCCTCATTGTCTGAAATGGTTTTTCCTGCTAATCTATGCCATCTTTTAGAGGTTTCAAATTTGAGAATAAATCATAACTCGAATGATTTGAAAATTAATATAATAGAATGAATAATAAAAAGGTTTTCATGCCAGTAGTTCCCCCTCAGAATAATTTGAATTGTGTAACAAATACTGCGATTGTTATACAAAAGTCTCCAAAACAAAAGTTCAATACCATTTGTTTCCACAAAATTAGTGAGGAAGAACAAACCCCAGGCAACAGTATGCATGCTTCATTTGTCCAAACTGAAGAGAAAACGAACCCAGCTTATCAGTTTTGTACATAAAGCAAATCAAGCTCCACCAAGAGAAAACAGTCTTGTGCACAATTAGCTGAATGTAAATCCAATTCTAGAGAGTTGAACCAAAAAATCGACACCTGGAAGACTATATCATGTACGACCACATTTAATCTTCCATATTCAAATTGTCTGAGAATGCCAAACTAATGGGAATACCTGTATAAAGAGCCTGCAAAAGCATTTGCAAACATCTCGTTTATGTTTTATGATAGCAATGGTAAGAAGAAAAAATGCGAGCATTTTCTGTAATAAGAAAACTACAGGTATATTCAGTACGGAAACAGAGTTAAAAAGAATTAATAATTGTATCTTTGACAGAGAACACTCTCTACACAAACTAAAAAATCTCCTCAATTTCATTACATGGTTAAAAGCAAGGCTCAACACTAACGACCCATTTGGTAGGTGTCCATAAATGATGGCAATGTGAATGAATTTGTAAATTGGCAAGGAAAATCAAGGTGATCCCATGATAATGGATGGTAATAAAAACATAAAAAAAAAAAAACAGAAAAAAAATGCTTGCAAATGAAATTGCATTACCATATGGATTACAATGTAAATTTCCTTCCTAATTTCACTAAAAATTAATTCTGATCAGCACCATTTATAACCGGCTATCGAACAGGCTGAAATAGTAATAAGACTAGTAACTAACTAGTCATACACCATGCATCTCTACCTTTTGATGATGATAACCATCTGTAGGTGACAGCAAACTAATGATGAGACATGCCTTGCAATAGTAAACGCTCTAGTGTTCCATCCCATTTCCACTCGAGTAATGCCTCAATTTTGACTCGAGTGATACCTCAATATTGAATCGAGTGATGCCTCAATATTGACTCAAGTGATGCCTCAATTGATGACTTTTCACTGTCACATTCAGAATTCTTTTTTTTTTTTTTTTGAAGAAATCACATTCAGAATTCTTAATCTTGTTTTGTCTAAAAAGAGATGAAGTAATTTCTGATATTTTTTTAGCATTAAATTGGCTCATTTCTATGCATGAACAGCCGTCTGACCATGTCCCATACCCGTACCCAAGTCATGCATGCCCGTAGAATAGGGGGTGCAATGTACCTTGTTGCACACGTGATAAGTGGTCTGAAAGACCACTTATATGCTTCATTTACCCCTCTATTTAGTCTCTTTCTCAACCTCCTAGCCCTTTTTATCTTTATTTTACCCTCTTTCTCGATTAGTTTCTCTTCTCTTGATAGTTGGCCCTTATGTGTGTGTTTTGGCCCTTTTGCTTGTTTTTCCTAGAGTTCTCATTGCATGAATGATACCCCCCCTCCCCAAACCTCTCACAAGTGTGCTTGAGTTCATGTTTTAGGTTGCTCTGGAATGAGAATTTGCAAGCCGACTTAAGCCACTTGAGACTTGCGGAGCTAGAGTTGTGCTTTGGAGAAGAGCAATAGAAGGCTCAAGCTTCGGATCAAGGAGCTTGGAGCGGTCGCTCTACCCCTCTGGAGTGGCCGCTCCAAATGAGAAAGGATGAAACTGCCAGACTGCTTAGAGCAACCGCTCCCCTCGGCAGGAGTGACCGCTCCATTATGCTGAAGCGCCCGCTATAATGTGTCTTCTTGAAGTTGTTTTTTATCCCTTCTAATCTAGGTTTTTAGGGGTTTTAAGGAGGGGGTATAAATACCCTTTTGGATGTAATTAATATTAACCCTATTTTAGAGAGTTTTAACCTAGGTTTTCTAGAGAGAGAGAGTGTGGTTTTCTTTAATTCCTCCATTGTTGAACTTTAAGTTATTTCAATTTATCTCTCTTATTTTGTTTATTGCTTTCTATTTTGATTGTTATCATTGTTTGTGGTTAGTTTTGTTGCTTTGTTTTGTTCATCCTTGTTTGTGAATGATGTTTGATTTTGTGGTGGTAAATGTTTCATCTAGCTTTGTTTCAATGGTTTCTCTCTCTTCTATAAGCTAGATTTCTAGCTAGGGGAAGGGGGTGAAGAATGTGGATTGATGTTGACTAAATGATGATGGATGATTGATTATTATGCCTTGAATCGATGATTTGCGCTATAAATTGCTTGGGATTATAGAGTGCACCTTTAATTCCCGACTTTGAATTGTTGCCTATGTTGGATTCACATGAGTGATTTAATTTAGGTATCAGATCTCGATTATCAATTTGCTTGAACAATTGCATGGGAATGAATTGTTTAGGAGGAATTTCATATTCCTTGGCTTGTTAATCTTGATTTCCATCATTATTTTGATGTGTTGGCCATGTTTGGAACCCCCATACCCCCTAGCACTTGTTTTCATTGCGTGAATCCCTTGCTAATTGTGTTTATTAGTTATCCTTAGTGTTTAAATCTCAAAAAAAAAATACCGAAAAATACACTCCTTGGCTCTTGTGTTTATGAATTTTATGATTGATTTGTTTCGTTTCTCTTGGAAATATGACCCTTACTTCCCTCTATATTCGCTTATTTTGGTAGTTATGGTTAATTTGATAGGATTTTTAACGATGCTTTCTACCGATATCAAATTTTGGCATCGTTGCTGGGGATCGAACCTGGGCCACCCGCGTGACAGGCGGGAATACTTACCACCTAGGAAGCACGGAAACGGACTCGGACACGGACACGGACACGACACGGACACGGGAAAACGGCAATCCTGAAATAGGGGACACGGGTACGGCGTATAACAAGTCATATAATATATTAAAAAAACGAGAATTTGACAACTAATTCAATAAAACACTAAATAATTAGCCTCAAAACACACAATTTTAATTAAACAAGTAAATGAACTAAGTGTACGGACATAGTCTCATACATATCAAGAAACCATCAAACCAAATACACTAGTTTATATCAATGAAGATAGTCATGATTAACCATAACAAGTCCAACAAAACACATTATTCACATCACAGCAAAATTAGCAACAACAAGAACCACAGAAACTGAATTTTCTACTTATAGAACCACTAATCAAAACTAAAATTAGAAACTTCTCTCAAAGCATCAAAGTTTTCTTATATAATAAAACCAGATCAAAGAAGCTTAATAACACAATTATAAAGCCTCGTCATTCACGTTGGTAATACACTCTTTAATCAACCAAATATGAAGGAGATAAATGCTATCAAAGCTCCAAGTATAAAAGCAAACATAATTACACAAATCTCAGAACAATAGGAATCAAGACACAGTGAACATTGCATCTTCAAAACCCCAGGATCCACATGCTACATTTAATAAACACAAATGAAAAAAATAATCCATAAGCAATATTCCACTGATCTCAAAGAAGATACATTTAAATAAAATTAATTAAATTAAAAAATCTAACTTTTCACAAATTTAGAAAGAAGTGTATGAGGTATTCTTGTGCACATGCTCACCAAACCCAGATTCCAAAAACTCAATTATTATTATTATACTATAAAATCCCTTACAAAATTTCTTCAATTTCAACCAAAATTTCTTTGATACCCACAAATTTCGTCCGAGACATCCAATTACCCTTCAGCTTCAACTTCTAAATTTCTAATTACATGATTCATGAAACTGAAATGCAGAAAATTAATTGAATTTAAAAAAAAACGTTGAGAACCATACCTGGGAGTCTGGGACAGCAAGTCAGCAACGACAATGAGAACGGTGGAGTGGTGGGTGGTGGCTGAGGACGAACAGCGGCAATTGAATGAGGCAGAGGCAGCGACGACAGTGACTGAGTGACACCAAGCGTGGAGCAACGACGACTGCTGACTGTGTTGATGCGAACGGTGGAGTGGTGGGTGGTGGGTGGAGCAACGACGACAGTGACTGAGTGATGACAATGGTGATGACTGATTTCGCGTGAGGCAGAGAGGAAGATGAGAAATTGAGAAGTGGAAATAGGCAGGGAGGCAGAGAGGCAAAGCAGAGAGCAAGACTTTAGGTTATTTCCCGAGTCATACCAAAACGGCCCGTGTCTAAGGGTGACACGGCCCGTGTCCAAAAATCAAAAACGTCAAAAATAAACCGGACACGGTTTTTGGAGTGTCCGAGACGTTTTGCCCCGTGTCCCACGCGTGTCCGTGTCCGACACGCGTGTCGACTCGGACACGCCTGAACTTACGAGTGTCCGTGCTTCGTTGCTTACCACTATACTACAGCGGCCCCTACAAACCCCTAAAAAAGAAGAGATTAAAAACGGCTTAAAAAAGCAGAGCGAGCGCTTTAGCATAATGGAGCGGTCGCTCAAGTCTAGGGGAGCGGTCGGTCGCTCCAAGCAGTCTGCCAATTTCACCCTAGGAAAAACAAGCAAAAAGGGCCTAAAAATGAACTCAAGCACACTTTGCACTCTCGAAGAACCCCATAGTGAAGGGAGTCGGTGTGGAAAAGGGCTAGTCATCCACCGGTATTAACTTTGCAATCTCATCTCCAAAACCCAGCCGGTAGGCTATCCATGTTATCATGCCTCCACATTGTATGTCACCCGAGAAGGGGTTGCCCATATTGATTGGCATTGAACCTCTCGACCAAAAGATGCCCACAATTGAAGAGCTCGGCGTAATCGGTCCCTTCCGTGCCTAACCATAAAATAAGCAACTCCTCTTGGGTGAGTTGTCCTAACTCCTTCCTTGAAAATAGACAAAATACCATGAGCCTATAAAAGTATTAAAGGGCGAGGTGGACAATTTTCGAAGTTTAGGCGGAGTAGGATTTAAATCGAGTGGTGTCCATAATAATCCAACTCCACCAATCATGTTCAACATATCCCGGCCACAATTGATCCCCAAGCTTTTTGATGGTACTATCAGGGTTCCACCCGAACATCTCATTAAATTCCGTAGTGTAAAACTCCATTGTTTGTTGAATACCCGGAATTTCAACTCAACATCTTTTACTCCTTCTACCTCCACCGTACCGAAAGTTAGTGCAGAATGGAACTTGAGGGTGAGCTCTCGATAGGTGCATGGAAATCTTTCCTTAATCCTCCCCGTGGTGGAATCAACCACGGGCATTTTCATCACCAACAAGTTTTCCCACCCCGACTCCACCGCAATTTGCTTGCTCTATGTATCCCAAGACCTTGACACGTTGAATCACAATAGAACCTTGTACTCCTAATTGGCTTCTTTGAAAGTTCGGCATAAAATTGTCTTTGTTAGGCTAAAGGAAGTACAACAGTGTAAGGCTTAGTGGGTTCA